GCAAGCGCAACTTCGTTCAGCAAGAGCAATTGGACTGGAGCGCAGACTGCTGCCCATATGAATGATATACATAATAATTTTTGATGGTCGACGCTATTAAGACATCAGGGAAGCTATACAATGAAAATGAAACATTTCTGAATAAAGTGTTTCTTGAGTTTTACTTCGAAACTCTGCAGCGTTGAGTAGTTACAATATATATATATATATATATATATATATATATATATATATATATAAGACTTTAACAGATTATCATTTTTCAATGAAGCCTTTATTAAATCCTTACATCTTAATAAAAGTACTGATATTCATTATTTGATAAACTATACAGGTTAGATTGACATCTATACTGTCACCATTCTTCCTGTGTCTTGCCTATTCATACCACTTATTGCATTAACGTGTGCGCTGTGTGCGACTTGCCGCTGACGTCCCGGCCTTCTACCACCGCTGTTTGGCCACGGCCACGCTGGTGCCTTCGATAGAGGCGCCTCGGCGTCGCTGTAGCGTCTGCGACGCTACGTTTACGTCAGCGCGTGGCCTGGCCAACCACCTGAGATGCCACGTCGACCAGGCTGGGCCATCCGGCGCCGCTCGTGCGCGCGTGCCTGCCCAGCGTGTGCGCCACGTCAGCAGCTCAACCGACACTTCCTCGTCCTCCTCGGGTTCCCCGCCGCCTGCAGCGTCCCGGGCTTCGCGACGCCTCAGAGGCCTAGCGCCTTCTAAAGCCGCACCTTCGGTGCGGCCTTCGTCGTCTCCGGCCACCGGGTCGGGGACCTCTTTGCCCGCGTCGATCGGCGTACCACCTGCTTCGTGTACCTGTCTTCCAGCGGTTCGTCGATGTCCGTGGGCTCGGCCTCTGTCCCCAGTTCGCCGGCACCAACTCCTGCCGCAAGCCTGGTCCCCTCCGAGCAGCCCTTGCATGGTCGCCACTCATTGGGGTCCCGACGCCCGCCGGCGTTACCGTGGATTCGCCCGTTCCCGGGTCACCCCGGTCACCGGATTCTGCGTCGCCGCAAAGACCCTCGTCGTCCGCCAGGCAAGTCCTGGTCCCGTACGACCATCGTCCTTCATCGTCGTCGAATGGCGAGGCGCCCGCCTCGCGCGGCACGTCGGCGGCTTCGCCCGTTGGCGATGCCGCGTTTCTAACGAACGACAACGACCACAACGTGCTCTCCGACGACGTAGCGGTGTCTTCGCCACCGCTCGATTCCGGGTCGTCCCCGGTTGTTCTGCCTGGGTCCCCGGTGTCTCTGGCCTCCTTCCCGTCGCTGCCCACGTCCGTGGACGAGGCCGCGGCGGTTCCAGGCGAACCCGACAAAGTACCGGAGCAGCCCGAGTCTGACAACGCGACGCTCCAGATTGCGAGACCCGCCCTCTGACGAGTCGTGGGCTCAATGCGAGGCAGCTTGGACGCGGGCCGTCGCCTTGGCTGTTCCTCGTAGTAGGTAACCACCAGTGGCACATACTCGAAACAGGTATAAGATTTGACCTCCAAGGTGGTGCCGGTGAGAGATTTCTTCTGCGCGTTGTTTAACAATAAAAAAATAGTGCTCAATGTACATGCCAATCGCTGATAATGGGGATTGAGAGACAGGAGCATTCGGCTTTTAGTCGACGCGCACGCTGCGATCCCCATTAGCAGCCATTTGCATGTACATTGAGCACTATTGGACAAGAAAGGGTTGCTACATTATACTCGCTGGGTGTAACTTCCTTAGTTTTAGAAAGCGTTGAGCCGCAGGGCCATGAATACAATGAACTAGTATACACCATGAATGAATTCGAGGTGGTTAAAGGGGGGAAGCAGATACGAAGCGCAAGCCGTAAGAAATTAAAAGCTGAATACTCCTGTCTCTCATTTCACATTAGCAGCCACTGGCATGTACATTGAGTACTGTCTGACAGGAAAAGGTTGCTACGTTATACTCGCTGGGTGTCACTTCCTTGGTTTTAGAAAAGTTTAGCGAGCATTGGGCCGCAGTGCCATGAATACAGTGAACTAGTATATACCATGAACTCAAGGTGGTTGAAGGTGGGAAGTAGAACCGAAGCGCAAGCCGTAAGAAAGTGTGCGTGTTCCACCTCTCGTTTAGTCCTTGGAATGTCCATTGAATGGCGGTGCTTCTATTTGGGGAATATATGATAAAAAGATGCGAGGTGGTGGAACTTGGAGTGTTGAATAGATGGGCGAACGGACACACAGACAGATGCATGGATGGACGCATGAACGGACGCAGGGGCGGATGCATGAACGAACGCAGGTACGGGCGCACGAACAGACGCATGCACGGTCACACAGACGGACGCATGGACGGACGAATACTTCGCCCCACCCTCCATCATATACTCCGTGGATATGCTGCCATTTTTTTGGTTCGTTTATTGCGGTGTTTTGGTTTTGTCTTGATGGAAATAAGCTTTTCACTTCGTGACTCGATTTGCAGTGGTAAGCCTAAAATATAAAGGTGGTGAAGTGTAACTGCCAAACATTTGCCGATTGTTGTCGCGTGACAAAGCAGCTTCAAGCTACGTGAAGTCAGCAGAGACGTAAAGTACGTTTCTTAAGAAAATTCGTGTCATACCCATAGTACCCATGCTCGCTGAAGCGCCATGCATTGCAGCTCCTATAGACACTAGCCAAAGATTTACCTCTAGTGTATACTAAGGAAACTTCATCATTATAGATGTACAAATGAAACGTGAAGTTTCGAGACCTGGCTTGGATTTGTAATTAAATGCTTGATGGCAACACCTAATTACCTCCCGTTTTCGTATGCCGTGATCTTTTCAGTGCCACCGCAGCTTCACAGCACGCGTCTGCCTCGCGCACTCGCACATCACGGTTCCGTCTTCGAACGCGAGACGCCGCCGCCTTGCGCGCACGTTACTCTGCAGCCTTGTCCATCCGCCGACCTTCTGAATGTGCATGTGCACCAAAACGACTTTTATTTTACTACCCAGCGGCCTCTAGCGTATGGCGCTGCCGACGAACACGCGATCGCCAACGTCTTTGTGTGACATCATTCCTTATTTCTCACGCGCTCGCACATCGGGGTTCCATCTTCGAGCGCGAGCCGCTGTCACCTTGCGCGTATCATACTTTTTAGAGGCAAACCGTGCATCATTCGCTGGCCGCATCCATTCATCGTCTGTGTCTTTGACGCAGGGACGAATGAACACACAAACGGATGAACACACGGACGAGTGGACGTTGCATGGGCGGATGCACGAATGAACGGAGGCACAGATGAACGGAAGACACGTGAATGAACGGATGGACGCACGGACGGACGCATGGATGAACGCAGGAAAAATGCTCGGAAGGACGAACGGACGCACAGATGGACGCACGGACGGACGCACGAGAAAACGGACAGACAGCCGCATGGACGGATGCACGAATGGACGCACGCACACACGGACGAACGGGCGCACGGATGGATGGAAGCAAGAACGAACGAGCAGACGTACGCGCGGATGGACGGATTAACGCTTCGCCCTACTCATCATTATTCATCACTCCGTGGATATGCTGTGATGTTTATTATTAATCACACTACAAGTAACCACTAGTATCTCCAATCCACTAGTATCTAACAATTTGCATTTTTCAGCGTACACGTATTTCGTTATATGTACAAGTACCACCCTCCACGGCAGGTTCAAAAGCTAATGAGAGGTGGCTACATACGATTACGATGACGCTCAGCCCGTGCCTTAGGGAGCTTCTCCCCTAAAAAGAAAGAGCATGCGCACCAGAACGAGTGTAGTGCCGACATTTAAAGCGCATCTTTCGCGAATTTTGAGCCACCTCGCTTGAAGTTACAAGAAAGTACTGGAGGCCCTCTGAGCTGTGGATGCTGCCGGTGGTAAATAGTGTATAGAAATAGCTCGGGGTTAGTGTGTTCAAGAACGTGCACTGTATAGAGATATACAGCTGAGCCTTATAGCGCTGTACATTGCAAAGTGAGTTGTCAATGGTCATTTCCGGTAACAGGTTATTTCTGTACAATATAAAACGCTACATCTGGGACGAAAATATGACAGTAAAGTGTTGAAGTATTCTGCCATTAAACACTTTCTTCGAAAAAATCAATACCAATGTCATGAATGCAAGAAGTTTCCATGCCGCAAGTATTCCTGCGTGGAAGAAGCGTCGAATTGCATGATGTGTTAAGAAACTGAAACGGCACAACGGGTTAGAAGTTTGAAAGCCCAAATGATAAAAAAGCACTGATATATATTTTATCATTATAACCAGGGAAAAGCATGAAAAAGTAAGGAGCTGCGTAGGCTGCCGTGTTGCTATATGGGCACGTAGACAGTTCTTATAGCTATATTACGGAAGACTAATGACATAATACAAACGAAGAATTATCACATAGTGGGCAATTCTTAATTGTACTTGCTGCATGTATTTTAGGACAGTTTGAAAAATCCACCGTTAATGGCAGAGGCTTACATTTACTTGCGCCATGATTGAGGAGTCCACAGGAAAGTGAGGCGAGGCTACCGTTTGAGAAGTGGATGTTAACCAGAACAGCGTGCGCTTTCAGATTGTGTATTCCTGAGGCGAAACTGAATTGTCCTCTGCCAAGGTAAAAATATTTTAAAAAATCAATTTAATGCTGGCGCACTGTTCAGTTTGGATAATATATGCGTCGTGAATTCTAGGTTGACTATGGTAAGTTCATGCTCGAATATACACTGTTCTAAAAAAACGACGAATTAATATAGCTAGAGAAAACGACATTTTACCCTTTCTTGAATCATTTTATCCGAGTTTCGATGCTTCTTTTCCCTTTGGAGTAATACCAGTTTGTTTCGTTTTTTATCTATTTTTTCTTTACACGAAGAGCATTAGAGGGGGAGTTGGTTGAGATATACCAATAGAATACTAACATGAAACAGTAAAAGAAATGTCCTTTTCATTATTATTGTATGTTCAGAAATCCCACATTTTTCTGTATCTTTTATTCCGCACCAATATTTAGACATATCCAGCACTTCCTCAATTTTATTACAGTTGCACATTAAAAAACGACAGTATGCGGTGGTCTTTCAACACTACATAACATGCGTTTCATGGTCCTCTTGCCAATGGTTCTTCTTACAATGCTTGTGTGAGTTGACGGCATGTTGTATTATATATCGTTTTATTATTCTTTGGTCTGTACTGACCATAATGTTTTATGCAAGAACTGTTCAGTTCTTTTTCAATTTGATCAATTGTGGAATTCCATACACGAACTTCAAGCCATCTAGACACTGCAAGAAAGAACAGTTAAAAAGTGTTTCGTATTGTTGCGCCATTTCATGCCATTTTAAACAGCTTTCGTCGATGGTACAAGTACACAGCACAGCTCACTCCATTAGTCTGGTTTGGTCTTCAAAGTCTCAGCTTCCTGACCATCATGAATTGTGCAAATACATCTGTCGACCTTTTACCCGGTTGTAGTAATTGTTGCTCTTAACGTGCGCCTCCCGCTGTAGAAAGCGCTGCATTCATCGCTAGCAGGCAACATACCGCATGTGCTTTATAAGAGTGAAATTGTGCGTTTATTAGAAATACAGCAAGCGTAAAGTATTTCAGAAAGGACACTCAAGAAAATAGGACAAATGTTGCTGTGTAGGATAATTTGATGTCCTCCACTAGCTCATTTATTGTGCATTGCATCTGATGGGTCAGCCCAACTGAAGTAATAATAAATGGGAAACACTTTTACCGTACTTTCGCCCAAGTAGGAGGGGAAAAAACGCACCTACAATTCTTCAAGCTTGGAAATAGACTGCTTTATTTGTCACGAAAAACAAGCTTCGAAAACGCAAAAGGAGCACTAAACACACCTACATTTCTTGATGCTTGGGAATAGAGTGCTTTATTTGTCACGCAAAACAAGCTTCGAAAACGCAATAACCTTAAAGGAGCGTCGCTGCGTATTCCACTCGGCACGCCAGAGATAACCTGATGTAGGTAATCGGTGTATGCGCCATGCGCCTCCACATACAAATTGGTACGCACACAACGAAAAATAATCGCGGCTAACGGCATTCACTTCCACTACACACCTCTTTCCATACTGCAGGCACCTTGGGCGTTTATATCTATCTATCTATCTATCTATCTATCTATCTATCTATCTATCTATCTATCTATCTATCTATCTATCTATCTATCTATCTATCTATCTATCTATCTATCTATCTATCTATCTATCTATCTATCTATCTATCTATCTATCTATCTATCTATCTATCTATCTATCTATCTATCTATCTATCTATCTATCTATCTATCTAATCTACGCACCTATCTATCTATCTTTGTACATAATGCCACCATCACGTAGTGGGTTGACGGCAAGAGCGGCTCTCAATCTGGAGAAAAAAATAAGATCGCGTGCTTCTCTGCTCAAGAGCCAGCCACGACTGACGCATCGTCCTAGTGCCAGCTACCCGGTGGTTTAATAAATAGCCCAGTACCTCTAACTCATCGTGGCAAACTGGTGGAAGTGCTGGGTAGTCTCACAGATGCTGCAGACCCGCCCAGGAAGCCGTGATACGAGTCCAGTGCCAGTCAATACTCCCGTGCATCGGACCAGCCTCCGAATCAGGGGATTGCCTCCGGAAGCCAACGATACTGCTCCCACCACGTCGACAAATATGACCAGCACTTCGGTGCAAAGTTCGGCAACCAGCACGGGAAGCACGACGTCGAACCGCTACACGTTGGAAAGCCCACGAGCACCGGCGACGTTGCATGGCACAGAGCACAAGGACGTTGAGGACTGGTTGGCGGACTTCGAGCGCGTAGCCACCTTGAATCATTGGGACGACGCGGGGAAACTGGGTCGTGTCTATTTCTGTCTCGAAGACGGGGCACGTAAGTGGTATCAAAACCGAGAGGAGCAGCTGAAGACGTGGCCCGAATTCTCTCATAGACTTCTGCAGACCTATCCCAGTGCTGATCGCCAAGAACGAGCTGAACGAGCTAATCTGGCCTGCATCCAGTTGTCAAACGAAACGGTGACCACGTACGTCGAAGACATGACGCGCCTCTCCCAACGGGCCGATTCAAGAATGACGGAGGACAAGAAGTTGCGTCACTTGATCGGCGGTGTCAAGGACCAGCTTTTTGCCGGCCTCGTGCGAAGCCCTCCGAAGACGGTCGCGGAGTTCTTGTCCGAGGCCGTGACAATGGAAAAAATGCTGCAGCAGCGATCCAACCAATACGACAGGCAAGTCTGTGGCATGTCTACTTCCGACATTTTCACCGCCACCAGAACCAGCAACGACTGTCTACGTGAACTCATCCGTGATATAGTGCGTGAAGAGTTACAAAAGGCTGGTGTAACATCTCATCCTACGGTTAGCTCTATTGCAACTGTGATCAAGGATGAGCTGCACCAGGCCCTCCGGGACACCTTGCCTCCTGGTACAGCTGTGCCAGCTCCTGCTGAATACCGTCGTGAGACAACCTATGCGGAAGCCTTGAAACGTCCTGCTGCATCGCCGCCATTATTCGTCGATCCTGTCCCTGCTGTTTCACTACAGTCAGCGCAGCACATACCATACTACGAAGGCACGTACACGCCACCACCGTTGGCCTTTGTCCCTGGCGCTTCTGTCGCCCATCGTTCAGTGCAACCAGTTCAGTACATCGACGATCGGCGCACGCCTTCTCGGAAGTCTGATGTCTGGCGCACACCTGATCGTCGGCGTCTGTGCTTTCACTGTGGAGAAGCTGATCACTTGTACCGTCAGTGCCCATATCGCCGTCTTGGGCTTCGCGGCTTCTCTGCGTACTCACCGCCACCCCGTTACGGCCAGAGACCGCGCGAAATCGAAAACTACCTCTCCCAGCAGTATGCACCACCGTCTGCTGGGCACCAGTCGCGCTCGCCATCACCGAGGCGATTTTCATCAACGCCCCATCGGTATTCTACCACACGGTCTTCCAGCCCCCGCCGGGAAAACAAGCCCAAGTGACCTCTGGGGGCGGGGTCGCTGAACGTCGAAGCGCTGAAGACCTCCTATTGACGCAGAACCGTACAGAAACTGGTCCGACATCACATACTGCTGCAAAGGATGGCCGAGTTTCACTCGACGTAGCAGTGACAATTGATGGTTGTGCAGTTAATGCGTTAGTGGACACTGGCGCAGACTATTCCATATTGACCGGGAAACTGACAACTCAGCTGAAGAAAGTCATCACGCCGGGGCGTCACTCGCAGATTCGGACAGCTGGTGGCCACGTCGCTACTCCACTGGGTGCTTGCACAACTAGAGTACAGATTCAAGGGTATACATTCGTAGCAGGCTGCCTTGTTCTACGCGAATGTTCCCGTGACGTCATTCTGGGAGTTGACTTTCTACAGGAAAAAGGAGCTATCATTGATCTGCAAGAGCGCCGTGTCACGTTCTCTGCTCAGCGAGCAATCAACGTGCAGTATGACGAAAGGCGTGTCGACGTACTCCGTATTTCTGAACAGAGCGTGACACTTCCTCCACGAGCAAGTGTTCTAGTCGACGTAACTTGCTGTGGTTTGGGCGATGGCGATGTGGTGGCTGAGACAAATTTCGAACACCTCCTGCAGCAAGGCAATTGTGTAGCTAGAAGTGTAATACACCTTCATGATGGCCGATCAGAGTTGCTCGTAACGAACTTTAGGAACGAGTATCGACATCTTTTCCGTGGCACTTCGATAGCTTTTGCCCATGAAGTAGCAAACGTCACCAACTGTCTCACGTCGGAACTAGTGGATACCGCCGACACGTCAATGAGTAATATTGACATCAATCCTGATCTGTTCACCGATAACCACACTGAGCTACGAGCGCTCTTGTTCGATTTCAGGTCTTGCTTCGCAAGTTGCTCAAAGATCCACCATACGTCCATCACTGAACACAGGATCATCACGTACGAGGACGCACGCCCGATACACCAGAACCCCTACCGCGTGTCGGCCAAAGAACGTGAAGCGATACGCACGCAAGTCAGCGAGATGCTTGACGATGGCGTTATTGAACCATCTCACAGCCCGTGGTCATCTCCAGTCGTACTTGTCAAAATGAAGGATGGGTCGCTACGCTTCTGCGGCGACTACCGGAAGCTTAACAACGTAACGAAAAGGATGTGTATCCGCTGCCGCGTATCGACGATTAGCTGGATAAACTTCGTCGTGCCCATTATTTCACTTCTCTCGATCTCAAAAGCGGGTATTGGCAAATCGAGGTAGATCAGCGAGACCGTGAGAAAACAGCATTCGTGACTCCAGACGGTCTATACCAATTTCGAGTGCTCCCTTTTGGCTTGTGTTCAGCACCGGCAACTTTCCAGCGAATGATGGACACTGTCCTCACAGTGCTCAAGTGGCAGACATGTCTTGTCTACCTTGATGATGTGGTGGTATTTTCTACCACGTTCGAGCAGCACCTTCACCGCCTGCGCAGTGTGCTGGAGGCTATCCGATCGGCGGACACAACTCTAAAGCCACAGAAGTGCCACTTCGGCTATGAAGGACTAAAATTTCTTGGACATGTAGTTAGCGCCGAAGGAATCTGGCCCGATCCAGACAAACTTGTCGCTGTTGCCGAATTACCAGCTCCTGTCGATAAGAAAGCCGTCCGGCGCTTCCTTGGTTTGTGCGCCTACAATCGCCGGTTCATTCATGGATTTTCACAGATAGCAGAACCTCTGACTCGTCTCACAAAGGATAACACGCCATTTGTCTGGGAAAACGAGCAACAAGCAGCTTTCGATGAGCTGCGGCAGCGCATGCAATCAGCGCCCGTTCTCGCTCATTTCGACGATGATGCTCACACGGAGGTCCATACCGACGCTAGTAACATTGGGCTCGGTGCAGTGCTCGTTCAGCGTCAAGAGGACATCAAAAGAGTGATAGCCTACGCCAGCCGCTCTCTATCCCGTGCCGAGGCGAATTATTCCACTACGGAAAAAGAGTGCCTCGCAGTCGTGTGGGAAATCACCCAGTTTCGCCCGTACCTTTATGGTCGTCCTTTCAAGATAGTGACAGACCATCACGCGCTCTGTTGGTTGGCAAGCCTGCGCGACCCTTCAGGACGGCTAGCACGGTGGAACTTGCGGCTGCAGGAATTTGATGTCACCATCGTTCATAAGTCCGGCCGTAAGCATGAAGACGCTGACACGCTGTCACGCTTGCCCCTTCATGTCGTCAGTCAGGAAGCAGAGGAAGGCGAAGGCTTCCTGGGCGCCGTTAGCGCATCAGACTTGAGCAAACGGCAGC